CATTGAGGGGGCTGGGATTGCAGCTGGAATTCAACAGCAATAAAAAAGTTTTTACAAATAATCTGATTAATAACAACATGAGAATCCCATAACAAAACAAGACCCCCACTAAGACCTGAAGGGTCTACAATAGCCATCATATTAACAAAACCTAACTTATTACAAACAGACTTAACAAAAGCATTTGGTTTTTTTGTTTCTGAAAGAAAGATAAAATTGGGGTGATGAGCTTTCTTGAGCTCTCTGATTTGGGAAATTGTAGAGGGCCCACCCAGCCCTCTACAATTCCACATCAGAGCTAACATTTATCAGGGTGGGGCCATTCAAGGCTGGCCACCCTTACCTTTTCCATATCAGATTTTTGTTTTTTGAATTGAGCCAGAGATTGAACATTATGATCCTCAGGTTGTTCAGATGAGTCCAAAGCTAGCCTGTTTCTTTTGCCTTGGACTGCTGGTCAATAATAATAGGAGAATCATTGGTTCTGAGAAGTTTGCCCACTCTTGAACCTGTTCTTTTCCATGATTTCAGAGGGTGAAGTTGAGAAGCTGGGAGAGACTCATGATGAAAAGTAAACTCTGAGATTGGAGTTGACTCTCCTTTTTCAAGATCCATGGGGTTAGCGTCCACAATTTGCAAGTTAGCTTCTTCTAGGTCCCCCAGCTCCGCAGCATTACCAGTAGCTGAGACTACAGAAGGTGCTCCCATTGACCGAGCTGGTGATTCATTAATCCCAATGCTGGGAATTATTTGATTATTAGCAGGGACTTGACTTGAAGAAGCTTTTTGGGATATATTATTATCTGAGGGAGATGGAGATTCAGGAGGTGGAGATGATCTAGAGCCTGAAAAACTGGAAGGATTCCATTTAACACCATCAAGAGCTCTTAACCAATCACCATACTGTTCTTCTTGGAGAGAATTATTTCGAATATCCTCCATTTTTATGTGACATGCTCTATCCAAGTGACCAATTTTTCCACAATAATGACAGAGGTTGATGAGTTTCTCGTATTTAAAGCCAACAATCACTAACTGATTTCCAAGCCTCACTTTAGCCATACGAGGGATAGATTCTTCCACATTAAGAGTGACTAAGAGTTTTAGAATCTTACCTCCATGACTCCCTGTAGTAGCAATAACCACATTCTTGACCTTGTGAAAGGCCTGGCCTATCCTGAGCCCCACTTCCGTACTGATCCAATTTAGAGGAATGTTTTGTACCTGCACCCAAATATTCAGCTCACGAAAACTAGGGTGCTTGCTGTTGATACTCACATCCCATTCTTTCAAAACAAGGTACTGGTTCTCGAAGCTCCAATTTGTACCACTAGCCACCTTCTTCATGTCATCCCGGTTTTGAAAGATAAATTGAAAATAATTTGGGCAGAGTTCTTTCACTTCCATAGCTTGATTAAGCTTTCAGCTGAGACATTGCTCGTTTTATACCAATCCAGCTTGCTGGCCTATCCCCGATTATTTTACCAAAGAGGCTTCGATTGCACTCATCATCACTGAGCTTAATGTCATTTTGAGCTATATCAAAGATTTTTTCTTCGTTGACAGAAAGAGCTACCTTGTTTAGACGATCCGAGAGCTCCTGGTCGAAGTCCGCCATGACAACCCCAGAGATGCTACAATCGATCGAAAGACAATAAAGAAGGAAATCAAATACGAATTTGAAAACAGGATGAAATTGATGGGGAGAACATTGAATCAGAGAAGATGAAATCGGGACAAATTTTCGCTCTCAAAGAGAGAATTAGGGCTCTCAAAGATTATAAGATTATAAAATATTGTAAGTATCAAATTACTTGTATGTACTTATAAAATTGTCGTTTATCATAGTTTTATAATTTTTTCAACAATTCATAAGTTGCACATTGTTTGATAATTGACCAACGTTTAACTCATAATATTTATCTTCTGCTATAATTATTAAGTGCATTAAATGTTAAAACCTTGATAAATAAATTTTAAATTTTAGTAACTTTAATCCTTATGCAACACACAAATTTTTTATGGTTAAATATTTTATTTTTATGTT